TGTTAGGTGTTGGCTGTTAGCTGTTAGGTGTTAGCTGTCAGCTGTTGGTTGTTAGGTGTTGGCTGGCTAAACTTGTAAAATGTAGCATTTGGTAGAAATCTTGAATGAATTCAGCTGTTTGAAGGAGAAATGTGTTGATGTTTTAATAATTATAATAATACATCAGATTTATATGGCGCTTTTCAGGACAGTCAGAGATGCTTTACAGTGCTGAATAGTAACAGTGATAATGAAATCAAAATTAAACATGAAAATAGATATCAGAGAGAAAATTATGATATGTGTGTGTGTGTGTGGGCGGGGCATAAGCACATACAGCCAGCAGCAGCAGCAGCGACCCACCGTCTGACACCGGCACACCGTGAGGACAGAAACAGAGGGCTCTGTGGGGACGGAGCACCTGCTGCAGCAAGCCAACACGCCGTCTGTGGTCATTTTGACTTGACCAGCTGACTTCACTACAAGCTGATTGGCTGTTGAAACAGGTGACGTGCTTTAAAACCAGCCGCTGCCCATTTGACCAGCTGAGTGTCAGGTGACACCATCAGCCGGCTTGAGTCCAGCTCACACCGGCCAGTTCACACTGCTGACACTTTAATGTGAGACGTTCTACAACAGTTTCGTCTCTTCACCAGTCTTTGGTCTGAACTGGACTTTACGTAACAAACACACGAGGATTCTTATTCTCAGCTGATCGCACACTAAAGGAAACAAACTTCTTATTTTCCATCTCTGACAATATTTCCTCATAAATCCTTCACACTGCACCTTTAAGAAATGACTCGTGAATTCAGAACGTTTTAAACACTTCATGGAAACAGTTTGAGCTCCATGTTTGATTTGGTACAAGGACACACTCTTCCTGTGTGTGTGTGTGTGTGTGTGTGTGTGTGTGGGGCATTGTCTGACACTTCTTGAACAGTGACTGAGACTTTAGCTTCAGGGTTGAAGTTATTTCAGTCGGTGCGTGTATTTGTGGATCAGGTTTATCTGGTGTCGTCTGTGACATCTCTCTGTCTGTCCGCTTGTCTGTCTGTCTGTCCCCTTGTCTGTCTATCTGTCTGTCTGTCTGTCTGTCTTTGGCCTTTCGTCCGCCGCCTTTTCGTCGTCTTGTTTGACTAAACCTGTCAGAGAGCTCAGATTAACAAACCAGAGACACTTGGCTGTCCTGCTGTTCCTCCAGACACATGAACATCACTGATAGTGTTTCATGGCTGAATTTGTCCCTATTAGAATTTTTACAAATGTAAAGAGAATGTTGAATGTCGTTTTCTCGCACACATCCAACCGCCATTAGATTGAAACCAGCGTCAGGTGGAAGCATGATGTGACTCACATGTGTGTGACATGTGTGTGTCATTGTTTCTGTGAAGAAAGCCTGATTCTGCTCACTGACATGATGTCAGAATAATGAAGCACCGCGAGGAGTCCTTCCATTATTTTTTATTTTCAAGGACTCATCACTGTGTGTGTGTGTGTGTGTGTGTGTGTGTGTGTGTGTGTGTGTAAGCACTCAAATCCCCGCAGCCCTGGATGTATTATGGATGAGACTCTGTGGTGTAGTAGCAGCACAGCGTTGTGTTCAGAAGCCGAAGAGAAAGAAAGATGAAGATGAGAGGAGCCTGAGCCTCACTCTGCGCTCTCATTAACATCTAACAGTTTTATATTTCTATGCAGGTGGTTTATTTACTAAAATAAAAGCTACGAGTCAGGAAACTGGAACTCAGAGCAGAACATGATGTACGTTTAGTGGCTGTCAGCGCTCATCCTCGGGGATGAGGGGTGGAGCTGATTTGTCATTTCTGTGCTGCTGACTGGAGTACATTTCCTCAAGTACTGTACTTGTGTTTTATTTCAAGGTATTTCTGTTTGATAGTAGTTAATATTTCTCCTCTACATTTCACCAGGATTATTGTCCTTTTTTTCCACTGCATACATTTCATTTCAGATATAAAAGAAACATCATTTAATAAAATCCAACACATTGTTGTTTCCTTATTCATCAGTAGTTCTGCACTTTGCTACCATGCCAAGAAAAAATCTAAGTTTGACTGCATAATATTAAAAAACAATAATCTATGTACACATATGTCTAAATATGCACAAGAAAAAATGCAAAAGAAAGTAGACCCAGCCTTGGCTAATAACAGTGTACATCCTCATCCTCAAACTGACCCAGAGGAGTATTTGAGTAGGAGTTGGGGTTAATGAATGGACGTCTGTAGCGTGGGAAAAGGAATGACCTTTATACAGATACAGATCCTGCACCTGCGCACACAGTCTTACGCTCTAAAGCTCGACAATGAGTGTGGTAAATGTACGGAGACAGAAATGTCTATGAAGAAAAGGACTATAAAGAAAATGTATTCAGACTCTTCACACACGTCTCTGTTTTCGTCGGTACAGTATTTGTGTGTATTTTCATGTCAGTCTTATATAAATATATTTCACCATCACAGCTCCTGTGTCTGTACAAAACTGACCAGCAGCCTTTTCTGATTCCTTGTATGCTGCCCGTACAGTTGCGTGATTATAAAATAAGATAAGACGTGTACCAACAGGTATTTAAAGTACGGTACAACATCAACACCCTCTCATAAAAAACAGCATTTAAAAACCTCATTGACTCACACAGAAGAACACGCACCTGTTTTAAACATTTATGATCTTTCAGAAATTAAATTAACAGTAACTTCAGTGCACCTTGAGGAACCACACTGGCGCTATACCTCTTTTGTTTTTACAGCTTAGACTTGCGCTTTAACTTTATCCTGCCGCCTCTGAAAGTTTTATGATGACTCTCTCATTGTTTGATGCAGCAATGACGAGGAACAATACAAAGGGTGGTATCAAGCTTTAGCAAGAGGAGAGGGTGGACTGGTCCCTTGGGGTGCAAATACAAAAAACTAGACTGGACACACAACACCAACGCCCTCTTCCTGTACCAGCCCCTCCCTGCAACTTTTTCTGGTACCTTTTTTTTTTTAACAATGTTTCAGAGTAGCCATTTCCAACAAACTCCAGACTTTCCCCTTCCCACAACATTCCAGGGTAGCCGTCTCCTACAGTATTCTACAGTGGCCCTTTCCTACGATATTTCAGGGTAGCCCTTTCCCACAAAAATCCCGGGTAGCCTGTATTCAAGGGTACCCCTTACCTACAGTGCTCCAGAGTTGTCCTTTCACAGATTTCCAGGGTAGACCCTCCCTAAAGCATCCCATGGTACCTCTTTTCTTCAATAGCTCAGGGTAGCGCATATATTCAAGGGTACCCCTTTTCCTACAATATTCTAGAATAGTCCTTTCCTGCAGTATCTCAGGGTAGCTCCTCCCTGCAACACTCTATGGTACCCCTATTTTACGATATTCAAAGTGGTCCTTTCCCTACAATATTCCAGGGTAGCCCCTCCCTACAATATTCCGTGGTACCTTAATCCTCGAACCCACTGGTGGACACCAGAGGTGAGGGGAGCCATCAGGCTGAGGAAGGAGGCCTACAGGGCATGGTTGGTCTGTGGGTCTCCGGAAGCAGCTGACGGGTACCGGCGGGCCAAGCGGAGCGCAGCAGCGGCAGTCACAGAGGCAAAAACTCGGGCATGGGAGGAGTTCGGAGTTAGGCCGTGGAGAAAGACTATCGATCGGCTCCAAAGAGTCTCTGGCAAACCGTCTGGCGCCTCAGGGGGGATGGCGGCAACTTGCTCACATTGTTTACAGTGGGGGCGGGGAGCTGCTGACATCAAATGGGGACATTGTCAGGCGTTGGAAGGAATACTTTGAGGAGCTCCTCAATCCCACCAACACGTATTCCAGTGAGGAAACAGAGCCGGGGGTCTCGGGGGCGGGTCGTCCAATTTCTGGGGCAGAAGTCACCGAGGTAGTGAAGCAACTACGCGGCAGCGGAGCCCCGGGGGTGACGAGATTCGCCCTGGATATCTCAAGTCTCTGGATGTTGTAGGGCTG